TATATATATATATATATATATATATATATATATATATATATATATATATGCCACACAGCATCGCATTACATCGAATAACACTACTAACGCACACACATGTGACCACATGATTAAGCGAGGGGAGCGTAAACAGCCGAAAAAAAACAATATGCATGGGACAAAGATCACCAGTCTGATACCAGGTCCTAAACTGATTTAAGAAACAGCTTTGAAACGAAAGTCCCTCGAGTGGAGGAAACTAAACCAATAAAATTGACGTGAGATACATCCCGATATGGTCCCACCCGACTACCCCAAACTATCGAATGCACACACACAAACAGAAACACTGATGTGCTACCGGATAGGTAATGAGTAACGCGCCATGTGAGAGAATCAATGAAACGTGGACGGACGAACGCACACATTTAGACATGCGTGTGTGACAAATGAGACTGGAAACACACCTGCACAGCGTGATCACGATCCTTGCGCAATATGTCCATATCACGCTGATGCTTCTTCTCGGTCACTTCTTTTTCCTGCTGCATCACACGTAATTGATCTTGTGCTTCGGCCAGAGCTTCAGTATTACGCTTCAAATCCTGTCAGATAACCATCATAAAAATTTGTTTAAAATGTTAGATAGAATTCGAGAGGAAAATAGATGAGTAGAAGATAATAAAAAAACATGAATCGGGATTCAGATGATCGACGACTACAAAACTTGGGTGAGTAGTTCATTAATTTAGTGGTTTATACGAGTTTATTCGATTTTTCACAGGCACCTGACAGCGTACAATCTTAATTTGTGCGTGGTTTTGGGTTTCCCTCTTTGGGATAATCGTCTAATTTCTTTCGTCACATCTTTACCAAAAACAGTATGTGATCATGTTTTTATAGGTACAGTATAGACCTATCCGATGTTCACCCCTGAATAAGATGTATATTCCCGATATTTGCGTACCTATACGGCAAACGAATCTTTTAGTCAGTATCATGATCACACCGTGAGAAGGGGCCTGAATCAATCAAAATGCAATGTTATAATGGGAAAAGCTTGTTGATTCTTAGATGCACAATACTATGAACGCATGCCGTGACACTGACCAATAGTCTCTTACGTAAGTCATGCACAGAAAGATGATCCAACAGTATGATCGAATCAAATAGAAACATTAATACAGTCAACTCACCAAAACAGCAGCTTGACTATCGGCCTTCACGCGAGCTGATTCGACCCGTAAATCACTGCATTCTGTTTCCAGGTTAGATATTCGTGTACGGAGCCCTTCGACTTCCGTGGCATGTTCCCGCGAGTTACGGGACTGTCCAGAACAACAGAACAAAACAGTTCATGAAAGAATAAGTGCTGAGAATAAATTAATCCGAAATAGATGTCATTATTTAAAATAGTGAGGTTAGAAAACAGATGAATGACGTTGCTATTAGACCCACCAACGCGAAGCCCTGAGCAGGCGTTCGATAAATGAAGGTGGCGATGAATTACTACTCAGATAGTAGTACGCTATGAGCCCTATGCCACGATCGATGTTTTCCGTAAACTTCGGTTAGAAACGACCATCTCTACTTAGTTGTTGTTACCTAATTTGGAAAATACCATGCTAGAAGGCAGGGAGCCGATCACAAATGACCCAAGGACGAAGAAACAACAGTGGAGTATGCAAGCAGTTTAAATCTAACCTCATTATCGCTTAAAAAAGCAAGACCGAATGTGATGGAAATCTGAATAAACTCACCCAAAAATGACTCAGATCAGGTTTATATTGAAATCGGTTTATTGTGAGCCTCACACGTCTTCTTAATAGAACAAATCATAGAATGAGCAGTCATGATCAACGAAATGGTACACGTGTTTCCTGAGCAGCACAGAAAGCAAATTTCACCCACCAAACACCTGACCTGAACTGCAATCGACCGTACCTCCGGGAAAATGTGACCAAAGTTGTCCATGTGCTACGTCCACCCGTAGGCGTTTTCTCCACCGTCATTGAACCAATTTGTTTTGAAAGGGCGTTGTCGACCCCACCCAGTATTAGCAAATCACCTAACTGGGTCACCGCGTCGCTTCTATATACCCTCCATAAAGTTAATAAAGGTCACACCCTGAAAGATCATACTTCGGTTTGTCAGGACTGGATCAAACCAGCCCTGATCAAGTGAAAAGCAGGTGTTTCATACACTTTCATCGGAAGAAAAATCAGCAGGCAGTAGGAAAAAATTACAAGGCAGGCAAATAGGCGGGATAGTTTTACGAACCGTGAATGTGTTATTTCAAACTGCATAGCCTGTAAGTTACCAAGTGAAGGATTACCACTTTTGGTTCTTATCCGTATCAAAAGATAGCATCCCAGCCCAGATGGATAGCCTATGTCCCGGAGAAAATGTGTGCATGTTTCGAAGAGTATTTTATTTTCTACAAATCATGACTACCAGCTCCACGAGCATCGAACAGCGCACATTTACTCAGCCTCTTGCACGAACAAGCATAGGGGAATCAAAACCGCTTTGGAATTAAGAACAGCCAAAACAACAAAGAGGCACAAGGAGAATAAATGAGCATAGACGTACGATGATGGCTTGTAAATGATTTCGTTCAGCTTCCAAACTTCGTTGAGCTCGAGCCTCGGCTTCTTTCAGACGTTCCTCAAGCACGGTGACTTGGGCTGTGAGACGAGCATTCTCGTCCCGTAATCGATCAATGCGTGATTCTTTTTCACTTTGGTGTGTGTTCTGAATACCTTCCACCCGTTCCTCCATGCGTTGAATTTGATCCTAATGAAAACACATTGGCAACTTGTTTAAGACACAAAAGAAAAAACCTCTGATTGAAAATATTGAAATATGAGAATTTTATTGGAGAAACATTCATAATAATTTCTGAATTTTGAATCTGAGGACTTGAAAGTTGGAGGAAGAGAGGAAAACAAAGGGAAAACGTGGTCTGAATGTCGCCTGGTTGACGGAGAACGATAATGGAAAATAGGCCCACAAATTTCAAGCTTTCCAACCATTGAACTAGCAGTTACGTTTGCTAATTTTGGTAAGGGTCTTTCGGATACCCAACTGGGTCAATCGATATCGAAAGCATTCAAAGAAAATAGCATAGACCTGGGAGTGGTATGATATCACAGTCTATACTAGACTATTGGACTATGATTTGGCACCCAGTCTAGATTCAGGCGGGTGAAAGACATACTAATACAACCGGACGGTGCTTTAAAAAATATATTAATAAAGACAATCAGCCCGGACCCTTCAAAGAATGGAAGTCAGTGAAGCAAAATCAGCGACAATAAAAAGGACAATGGAACGACCACCCGGCAACGGACTAGTGAATGCATATTGTGAGTTACAGAAGTGATGTTCATAAGGCTAGAAATGTTTTTTTTGTTTCGATTCTCAGACAACTTTGGAAGTAAGGAAATAAGAATATAACATTTTTCGTCTTGAATCAGATTCGTTTCCTACGGTGATAAAGTGATAATGTAATGCAAACTTTAAAGAAAAACATTAAAATCTAACTGCTAGTAGATCAAAAGCCAGTATATACACCACACTGAATTTCTTCATCTCCAGATAAACCCAGTCCTGAGATGAAGAGCGTGGAAGTAGTGTACAGCTCTTTCGACCTTAAGAGATTTCAATGTGAGTCCATCGACCCAACCGAGGACGGATACCAGCACCTCAAAGGCAAGCACACTACCCACTTGACCGCCGAACAACTGAGCAGTTTGTTTCACTTCGTCCAGAAATGCTAACTCTGCAAGCTTGTGGTGGTCATTTTACCCTGCTCATCTTAGCATTAGCCCCCCGGGTGATAACTCGGTTGAAACATTTCCGAACTTGATAACGAAAAACCACATAATCCAACAAAATCGTCCAATATTCCTTTGCATTATGGTAATTCCTTTTCAAAAGCTAGACAGCAAAGAAAACCAAATGTGGTTTCCCTCTGCGATCCTCACAGATCACTAATAACATATCGTACAACAGCGCCACATTCTTCGCCCTCGCATGTTCATTATCTCTTGTGCTGTCTTCTGAAACCAATATACATTTAGATAGATCATTTCCAAGCTATAACTATTGAGATAGTTATAAAAACATTGTGTCGGTGTCAAAAGCAATAGAAAGAGCATGAAACTACGAAATTATCATATTCTGGAACCATGATTCTTAAAGGAGAAGAAAAACATTACCGCGGAATAACACACAACGCACAAAGAATCAACGATAGAATGAAACTCACTCGCATTAGCTCAAGATTAGTTTCCATATCGTCCATGAGAAGGTCAGAACGAGACGCACTACCCGGGGATTCGGGAAGATCAGCAATTAGAAATGAAGGGCCCCTGCGCAACCGGAGGCGAAGGGGCATAAAGAAAGAGATGAAAAGGATCAATAATCATACCTGTAAAGTGTCTCTACGTCAAACTAATTAAAAAATTTTATCTGAGCCCTTTTTGTATGAGAAATGATGGCAAGTGGAAAAAATGCCCCAATGATTATCCACCCTTATGGAGCATAAAACCGCTAAAATTTGCAGTGTCTACTGAGAAAACTAAACAGGACCACTGTGAGTAAACTACTTATTACTCAAGAAAACTAAACAGCGAACATAATGGTTTCGTAGATTGCATAACACCTTTTTGGGAGTCATACAAAGTTAGCTATTCATTTCAAATCAAAATATTCATCTGCATTGAGCGAATACAACTGGGAGATCTGAAACCTTCATTTGACGAAAATCAGCCAAAGAACTGTGTGTACGCGCACACAAGAATTCATAGTTAACCGGGAAAAACACAACAACAACAACAACAACAACTTATACTTAGGGCCTCAGTATGGTTGGGGGTGGGTGTCTAGGG